GTTACATTGGAAAAAAAAACACATTGGATCTAGAGTCCAGACTCTTGAAAACATTGACAAGAAAAAATACTCTCGATTCAATCGGATTTTTGCTTGTATCAAAACGTAATCCGCTTAAATTAAGAGGCTTGGTTCTTGATTTAAGCTAGATTCTGATTGAATTAAAAGTACTTTTTCTTGTAGATGTTTTTAAGAGTCTGGACTGTAGATCCAATGTGTTTTTTTTCCAGTGTACTTGTGTTTAAAGAACTACGTTGCATAATCTTAGCAGAATTGCGGGAGACTCATTATACCCTTTCACCAAAGAAGTCCTCGATTTTTGAAATCCTTCGTTGAACACTTTTTTTGTGTTAAAGTCATGGAATGCTTGACACACGACATTTTCCCGTTTCTTGTTTTTTTTATTTACTTTTGAACAGCTTAGTTTTGGAAAGGAAAATGAGACATTTTTTGGAATTCCCTTTTCCCATGGAATGGCCCTTTACGCGAAGTCGGCGTTCTCACAGCCCATCGGTGCCTGGATTTTTTCCATTTTTTTTCTTCGTTTTTTTTGCAGCGCGGTTTCATTTACCGGTAATTACTTGCTCGCGGGGGTTTCGAACTCTATTTTTAAGGAAGCAGGAAAGATGAAAGGTCTCTGCGATTCCAGTTAGCGGCAATTACCCCGCTTCCACGTTTTAAAATTATTTTGCACTTACGTTTTATAGTTTCATAACCTTTCGTAGCTCGGCGCTCGTGAGTTGCGTGCGGAATGCCCCCGACACCGTTGCCATATTCATGTTAATTATCACTGATTTACACAATGTAAATTAGAAAAATAGCACTTTTTTCATCATAAACTGGCAATTTCGACCCAGAAGCACATACAAGCGATTGATCGATTCTTCTAAGCGTCGAGTGCTCAAGGCCTCTACCAACTGTCTCGTACCTAGAGATAATATGGACGTATTTTTGCCAAGAGCCCTGAGACCCATAAGAATACATGCATACCAGGGCTCACGTCATAAACACACATAGTTTCTTTTGACAGAAATGCGTCCATATATCAATGGCTAAAGTGCGGAACCACGTATCTCCATTGCGGTGTGTCGAAATTTCCGCTCCTTTTTAGTTTTTCAAGAAAAAACAAGCTAATTTTACAGCTTGAGTTTGAAACCGACTATCCACTAACAAAGAAGAAAAATCAAGGAAGTTTTCAAGAATCTCTGTTTTGGTGATGGGGGAGGGGGTTGTTTTTTCTTCGTTTTCTCTGGTATAATCATTCATGCCTGATTTCAAAATAGCTTTCTAAAATAATATATATATTTTGGAATTCGAGGATCGTCAACAAAGCGAATAAAACTGTTTTTCTTGATTTCTTGCATCTTCGCAATTTTGGCGCTTACGTGATTTGGAAAATAATCGGTTCAATTGTTATTCTTAGACAGGATGTCTACTAAAACAGTCTGATCAAAAATAAGTACTTTTACAGTGCTTTTTTGGTACATTATCAAGAAATTCAGTACCTTTTCCAACAGAAAAATTCCATACTTTTTCAGTGCATCCATTTGACGAAATTCGAAAAATTTCAAAAATTTGAAATTGCGACAAGAATGACATAAAATTAAAAAAAATTCCGGACCTTTTTGCGGAATTTCTATACTTTTTCAGTACTTCCGGACCGCCGTTAAGAAATCAGTACTATTTCCGGACTCTCCAGAAATGTCGGACTTGTAGACATCCTGTTAGAGCGATTTGAAATATATTTTTAAGCGCGTCATTGCGCTGTTCGGGATGTTTGAACGGGACAAACGAGGTTCCTACTCTACTTTGAATACTTTGAATTAGCGTGCGAGTATAGATCGGAGCACGATAGATCGATCCTTATAATACAAGCTTTGTCCAGACGGCTATGAGCCGCTTTTACGACCAATTCCAGGGTGGAACCTCCTCTCCGCTCGGGGGCACTTTTCAGAATTCGCCGCGGGAGTGCGTGGCGGATGCCCCATATTCTTTCGGCGCTGCAGGTTTTTCACCGCGCAATGCACTCGCTTCCTCTCTTGCATTCCTCCATGATGTGCATGCGTCTTAATCGACGCTCATTTCCGTTTTGTTCTTTATCTTTCACCCCGTGGGAATTTCCAGGCGATTCCGATTGCGTCGACGGAGCCCTGTTAGCATAATATCGCTAGGTAGGTGTTTTTAAGAAACATCCAAAAGCAATGAAATGTTGCACAGGTGCGTTTCTTCAAATTGCGTTTCAATCATTTTGAAATTACCTTAAAAACATTTGCAAGTCGATGGCCAAGGAACGGTACCACCTAACTGCAAACTGTTAATTTTGCAGGACGGAGAGGAAACTTCGGCATGTTCATAATTTTGAGGTTGGATCTGCAATTTTTCTTACATCACAGGATCAGATCATTATACCCCCCCCCCCCCCCC